AAAGTTTGACCCTCCCTTGTGCTACTAATGTCTTCCATTTTGGTGTTTGATTTCAAAGGGGGAGAATTTAGAGGACCAAAAGCAAGCATTAATTTATAGGATCAAAAGCTAGATCATAATAATTTATAAGTGGTAATGGTCCGAGAAAGGGAGGATAGTGGATTATGGATTAGCCTATGTAATGGGGAGAATTTGTAGGAAGCAATGCTTAAATCCATAATACCACATGGGGACATTTGTAAGGGCAAGATAAGTTTTTAATGTGGTATTCTTTAGTTTTACAAGTAGTATCGCTTAGCATCATATAACCTTGCCCCTTGCATTGCATCCTAGCAAGTAGGTAGTTTTCAAATTTCAAAATTCTATTATTTGCTTGTTTTGGTCGTGTTGTCATCAATCACCAAAAATTGGGAGATTGTAAGGAAAATAGACCCTAGGCTTATTTACTTTGGATTTTAGTGTTTGATGACCAACACAACTAAAATTGGACTAATGAATTTGTAAGTGATTGTTTTGTAGTTCAATAGGGTGCAAGACGTGACTTGGACGAAGGCGACGTGATGATCCGATGATCAACACCATAAGCAAGACCCTAGGAGCACAATAGAAGACCAAGATATTAAGCAAAGTCCAAGCACGAAGATAGGAACCAAGCCGTACGCAAGATCGTGAAGATACGAGCTCACAGAGGTGATCGGACGCTGGAAGGTGATTGGCCGGACGCTCCGATCAGTGACTCGACTACAACAGGCGTCAGCAGCAGTGACCGGACGCTGGCGGCAAAACGACTGGACGCAGGATAGCAGAGTCCGATCGAGTACAGAGAGGTTCTAGAGCGGCGAAATTACGATCGGAAGCGTCCGGTGGCATGTGACCGGACGCTGGCAGCGTCCGATTAGTGGATCGCGGCTCCAACGGTTGGGACGACCGAACGCGTCCGACCAGGACAACCTGAGCGTCCGGTCAGTAGCAGAAAAGCGGGATTTCGTCCCCAACGGCTACTTTCTCAATGGGGCTTATAAATATAACCCCCAACCGGCCAAATGAGATGTGTGGAGCTAATGAAACATATCAATGATGTTGATACACCATTTTAGTGATCTCCACTTGCATAGTGCTTAGTGATTCATTAGGTGATTAGTGTAGGTGCTTTGCGAAGTGCTTAGGTTGATTAGACCACCGCTTATGCGCTTGCTCTAGGTTTAAGCCTAGTGTTTAGTGAGGTTTGCATATCTCTTACCACTCGGTGCTTACGCGCACCATTGTTGTACATTGGAGGGGCTTGTAGTCTTGCGAGATCACACCAACCGCGTTTGTGGTGTGGCCGCCACCATGTACCGGAGGGAACAAGGCCCGCGACGTTTCGGTTGGAAGCTTAATAGTGAAGACGGCAGGGAGCATCCGGGAGAGGCTTGCCGGAAGGCATGTCGGAGACCCACTCGCGCGTGGGGAAGGCCCGAGGCTATCCACGGAGTTACCCGACCGGGAGCTTGGCCCTTGCGAGGGATTCCTTGCGAGGGTCTCCAACGAGGACTAGGGGGAAGCTTGCGCGCTTCTCGATACCTCGGTAAAAATACCGAAGTCGTCGATGGGAGTTTGCATATCTCTACCTTGCTCTTTAGCTTCCACGTTTACATTGATTGTATTACTCTTTTTGCGGTAGAGATAGCAACACACTAACAAAACCATAGTTGCACATTTAGAAAGTTTATCTTTTGCATAGGTTTTGCTAAGGTTAGAAAAAGAGGCCATAGTTTAGAGTTAGAATTTTAAGTTGCCTAATTCACCCCCCTCTTAGACGTCACGGTCCCCTACAAATGTTTCTTCTTTCCTATGTCAAGCGGGCCGTTTGGAGCTTACAAATGCAATCTTCGCAGCTTTTAATAACTTTTGCTATGATTGCCTTTATTCTACAGAAAATGATCACCAAACAGATTGATAAGTTTAGGAAACATTGTTTTATGGCAAGGGTTTGATGCCAATAACCGAAAGCCTCCAAAAGCAACATGGATGATGGTGTGCAGTCCAAAGCAGGAAGGTGGTCTAGGTGTTCTAAACCTCCATAGTTCGTACCCATAATGAATGTTTCTTAAGCATCTTCATAAATTTTATATCCGTTTGGATATTCCATGGGTCCGATTAGTTTGGGATAAATATTATGTGGATGGACATCTTCCTCGCTTCACTAATAGCTTCAGGGGCTCTTTCTGGTGGCGAGACATCTTGAAGCTTTTGGACTCTTACAAAGGCATGGCTATGGTACATGTTCAAGATGGCAAATCTTGTTTCTTTTGGCTTGATCTTTGGAGTGGTAGAGTTTTGCATCAAGTCTACCCAGAGCTATTCTCCTTTGCAAAGAATGCTCACATCTTAGTTGAGGGGTTGCAATATACACCGATTCTTCATTCACTTTTTCACTTACCACTTTCATATGAAGTTTATGCCCAATTTAAGGAGATCAGGGGCCTTGTCCAAAACATTCATCTCCAACACCAAACAGATTGATGGTCCTACTTGTGGGGGTCTTTAGTTTTCTCCTCAGACAAAGCTTATATTTTCTCCTCAGGCAAAGCTTATAGACTTCTAATTGGCCATAGACCAGTTCATCAAGCATTTTCAGTGGTTGTGGAAATCTTCCTGTTAGAATAAACAAAAAAATTTCTTCTGGCTTGTGTTGAAGGATCGGCTGAGTACTAGAAACCTGCTTCGACACAAGAACATGTCCCTACAGGACTATAGTCATGTGCATTGCTTGCAGGACATTGAAGAGGCTCTACTATATCTGATGGTGGGTTGTGCTTTTGTTTTGGATTGCTAGAACACTTTGAACCTAACTATACCAGCCACCACTGATCTTTTACAAAGTCTTTGTCAGCTTCAAATACCAGCTCAGAATATCGTTCTTCATGGAAGTTGTGATCACCATGTGCTGGTTTTATTTAGTAAGGAATGCTGTTATTTTCAGAAACATTCCTGCTTCGGTGCAACACTGCAAGTCAATCTTCAAATCAGAGTTTGCTCTAGTCATTCTACACGAAAAAGGAAAATACCACACCCTAATCGACTTATGGCTAGAAGATTATGTGTAACTTTCTTATTTTTTCTTTGTAACTTTTCTTTATTTCCTGAGATATGTAACAAGATATTTTGGGCCTGTTCGCTTGTCTGAATTTTGGAGGAATCTGGATGGTTTGGAAGAATGGTGGAGGAATTTGTGAGAGAAAAACACTGTTCCGGATGAAAAAATAAGCGGATCAAGCCGGGTTTAAGGGCACACGAACAGGGCTATCTTCAATTCGCAATAAAGCACAGTGGGGATGTTTTTGATAAAAAACAAAGGAAGGTGCCGTATCACAAAATTTAGGTTGTAAGAGCATCTCTAGCAGGTTACCTAAACCTACAAAATTTGGGCAGCGGAGGCCAAAAACCGCACTTCAACAGGCTACCTAAACGACTACCTTGGCTTCCTACCACCTATTCCGGTTGGTCCAACAAATCTGGCTACCTATTTTTCTTTCCCCCACGCGCCTCTCTCTCTCCTTCACGCTCGCACGCACACGACCCGCCCGCACTCGTTCGTCGCCGGCGGAGCACCCAGGCAGTCAAGCACGGAGCTCCTGTAGGCAGAGCACCCCGGTGCGAGCGGCTTCCCCCAGCGTGGGATCAACGGGCAGCCCGGTGCGGCCGTGTTTTCCCTGCGCGGCTGTGGCTCCCAGCATCGGATCTGGCTAGCCCCGGCACGGCCATGGCTCCCCGATGCCCCACCCCGACAGTCTCCTCTCCGCGGGCACCTCCCCCACGGACGACACTCTCCGGCGGCGCCCTCATTTCCTAGCGCAGCCGTGGCTCCCCGACGCCCCTCCCCGGCCGGACATCTCCTCCCCGCGGGCACCTCCCCGTGGTGGCGTCGTTGGCCGAGTTTGTCGATAGCAACAAGGAGATGAAGAGGATGACATGTGGGCTCCACATTTCATTGGCTATTAAACTGAATTTGAGAGCCATGATTTAGATAGTAGTGCTGAAGTTGGAAGCAAAATTTAGAGGGTGTTTTGGACGGCTTCGCTCCACGTTTTTTAGCCAAACGGTTTCAGCTCCACGTACTATGTTCTAGGAAAAAGGAGAGAGTTGTGAGAGAGAGGTGCTCTATAAACTATAGTTTTTTGTAGAACTGCTCCACGATGAAGCTCATAGAGTGGAGTTTGTAAAGCAGTCCACCACGTTATAATAGGTACTCTCATGCTACGGGAACCAAAGAAATTTGTCCACCGGCATACCCGTTGGAGTGCAGGTAATCTGGACCATCCACCCCCTATCGGCTGCCGCACGCCCGAACCACCCAAAGTCCCAAACCTGTTCCGCTGTTCGTAGCACCGGATAGGATTTTTTTTTTTTGCCACTCGGCCACTCCACAGTCGATCTCCGACATCACACATTCACGCCTCACGCGGCGGCCGTGTCGCCAAACCTCGCTGCTCACCCGCTGTCACGGCCGATTCCTCTCGCCGAAGCCACGACCGGAGTTGAATTCGGTCCCTCCCGCACCCTCGCCCCGCCCCCCTCCGCCACTGGCGTCTAGCTCTAGCCGGCGGCTGCTGGTGGTGCGCCACGTCACTGGCTTGGGGGCTCGGCGCACCTTGTGATGAAGGGAAGGCAGCAGTCAGTGGCCCGGCGCATGCACTAGGTGCTCCTGCTCCTCATCGTCGACCTTGCCCTCTAATCCGCAGGTCAGCACGGTTTCCATCCCCTCTTGGTCTCTCCCCTCTGCCGTTCTGCGTATCTCCCAAGCGAATTCAAATTAGGCACTGCCGGTGAGTGGTAGCCCGCGTTGGGGCGCAGCTAGCCCGTCGAGGCCTTGTGTCCTCGAGAGGTGGCGCGGCCCTCCTTTTCCCCTCCTCCTCCGCTGGGCTGGTAGTAGAGAGTTGAGATCGCCGGATTAATCTTTGTTTTGCTCTGATGTGCAGGACTGCTTGGTTGAAACCCATGCCCGTTTGTGAATCAGAATGGCTGCCCTGAGGATTCAAACCCCAGCTGGTCCTCCGGAACTCAGAAGGCGCAATCTTGCTAGCAGCCCAGCCCATGTGGGTCTAGATTTGATTGGGTTTAGTTCCTGGATGTTGCCAATGGGGGACCACAGGTGTGCAGGCAGCGCAGTCGTCACAAGCCATGGTGTTGGATATGTTGGTGCTGGGAGGAAGAACTGTCCAGAGGCATTCTTGAAGAATGGTGTGGTCTGCTCTTTCGATGATAGTGGTGTCAGGGTGTCTACGCTGTGTTCATCTCTTCCATCTGAAGCTGTAAGTTTCGGCAGCAAAATGTCATTAGTTAATTCAATGGGCTTTGCACGGAAGAAGAAAGGGGGTAAGTTATGGCGGAGATTTCAGGGTGGTAAGAAATTGGTAAGGCATAGAGCTCCGAAGCATGGCCTGGGAAAGGACAGGCATGGTCACAAATCTGTAGTTAAGGATGATGATATTGATGCTGTTTTGTCCAGGATAAGCAAGGAGTCCAGCATTGAAGAGTGCAATTCTGCTCTGATCCGTCTTGAGAAGCTCAGCGATGAGAAGGCTCTTAACTTCTTTGATTGGATGAAGATTAATGGGAAGCTTAAGGGGAATGCTCATGCATATCACCTAGCTCTCCAAGCCATTGCCTGGAAGGAGGACTGGAAGATGGCTGAGCTGTTGCTTCGTGAAATGGTTGCTGATTCGGGTTGCGCATTGGATGCTCGAGCATTTAATGGACTGATGTATGTTTGTGCTAAAAGGAGGCTTGATGCTTGGGCAACAAAGTGGTTTCACATGATGCTTGAGAGAGAAGTGCAGCCGAACTTGTCTACCATTGGTATGCTTATGGGCCTTTACCAGAAGACTGGGAAACTATCCGAGGCTGAATTCACTTTCGAAAAAATGAGGAATTGCAATATCAAGTGTGTTAATGCTTACTCAGCCATGATTACTTTGTATACACGTTTAGGCCTTTTTGCCAAGTCTGAGGATACTATTAATCTAATGAACAATGATGGGCTAGTTCCAAACATGGAAAATTGGTTGGTGCGGTTGAATGTATACTGCCAACAGGGTAAAATGGAGGAGGCCGAATTGGTCTTGCAGTCCATGGTTGACGAAGGATTCACCCTGAATGTTGTAGCGTACAATACTTTAATTACAGGATATGGAAAAAGTTCTGATATGCAGAAGGCAAACAAAGTGTTTGATAGCCTTGGTAGTGCAGGTTTAGCTCCTGATGAAACCACCTATAGATCAATGGTAGAAGGTTTTGGTAGAGCAAACATATATGAAGAGGCAATTTTGTACTACAGGAAGCTCAAGGGTGCTGGCTTCCGAGCAAATGCATCCAACTTTTACACTATGATCAACCTACTAGCAAGACATGATGACAATGAAACTGCAGTTGAAATTCTGGAGGACATGAGGGCAGCAGGCTGTCAGCGTTCATCAATTGTTACTTTTCTTGTTCGGGCTTATGGAGCAGTAGGAAGAATGCATAAGGTTCTTCCGATTCTACAAGCTTGTTTCAACAAGAAGATTTTGCTTGATGCTACCTCATGCTCTATTTTAGTAACATCATTTGTTCAAAATTCTGTACTGGAAGAAGCTTTGTACATTCTGCGTGAAAAGAAGTGGAAAGATTCTGCTTTTGAAGACAACTTATATCATATATTGATATGTTCTTGCAAAGAGGGTGGCAGTTACAATGATGCTGTTAGGATATACAATCAGATGCCTAAGTCTGAAACACATCCAAATCCCCGTATTTCTTGCACAATGATTGATGTTTTCAGCATGATGGAGAGGTTTGCCGATGCTGAAGCTATTTACCTTGAACTGAAGGCTTCAGCTTCTGTACTTGATATGATTGCTTACAGTGTCATTGTGAGGATGTACATTAAAGCACGGCGACTAGAGGATGCTTGTTCAATTTTGACAGAAATGGAGAAACAAAAAGAAATAATTCCTGATAAATACCTTTTAGTTGACATGCTTCGGACTTACCAAAAATGTGGTCTTCTCGAGAAGTTGGCTGATACATATTACTGGATACGTAAGAGTCAAGTTGAATGTGATGAAGGCATGTATAACTGCATTATTAATTGCTGTGGGCGGGCCATACCTGTTGATGAGCTGTCCAGAATTTTTGATGAAATGATTCAACAGGGACACTTAGCAAATACTGTTACCCTCAATGTATTGCTAGATATATATGGAAAAGCTGGGCTTTTTAACAGGGCTGAAAAGGTCTTTATCATGGCTCGCAAGCAGGGCCTGGCAGATATCATATCATACAATACCATTATTGCTGCATATGCAAAAGGCGGCAATTTTCTTAGTATGAATTATTTTGTCCAAATGATGCAGGATGCAGGGTTTCCTGTTTCTCCTGAGGCGTACAATTGCATGCTGGATGCTTATGGAAAGGCAGGGCGATTGGAAGAGTTTGCTTCTGTTTTGCAGAAAATGAAGAGAGCAAAATGCAAGTTTGATCACTACACTTACAATATAATGATCAATATTTATGGGAGAAGGGGTTGGATAGAAGATGTTTCGAATGTTCTTGCAGAGCTAAAGGACCGAGGTGTGGAGCCAGATTTGTACAGTTACAATACCTTGATAAAAGCATATGGGATAGCAAGAATGCCTGAGGATGCTGTCAAACTGATGCAAGAGATGAGGATTAAAGGCATCAGTCCTGATCGGGTGACATATGCTAACCTCATTAATGCCCTACAAAGGAATGAAAATTTCCTAGAAGCTGTTAAATGGTCTCTCTGGATGAAGCAAACAGGAGTGGTAGGGTGTGGAGCTCGAGCCTGATGTACCTGAGCTCCTGAAGCATTGGGTTTTGTTTCGAAATTATCCAACTCGGATTGTTGTCTTCATGTTGCAAACGAATACATACTTTCTACTGTACAGAAGAGTGTAGCTGATTGTTCTGCAAGTGCTACAGACATTCAGAAACTTGTACGTTCTCATACAGGATGAAATTCAGTCATGCAGATAGGAAGTTTTTATCATACCTATCATACTGTTGTAAATTGACAGTAACAGTGGTTTGATCATCTATGCATGATCGAATAAGGAATACAGTTTGGAATTCACTTGTTCTCAGGTTCATTGGGTGAGTACAATGTTGTCATTCCCTCATCTTCTCTGGAGAACTCTTGGCCTCGATTTCTTTTTCACTATTAACATCATGTTAATACAATCTTTCACATTCATTTGGATGATTGTTTGAGTCCTCTATACTTATTATGAATGGTTTGCTGCGTGCAGCCATGTACATTCATGAACACCCTATAAATACATTTGAGCTGCCTGCGACAGTGTAGCTTGTCTAGTCATAATATAGTTAAATGGTGGTCCTGTATGTTGAATCCATCGAAGTGCTTGAGAGGATGATTATATTGTGATCTTTATGGCGCATATATTGACAGACATCTGATCTTCATTTTGCTGGTTAAATAAGAAAAAGTTATCTGGCATTAGTGGTCTGTGGTCATGAGTCATGCTTGTGCAGTTCTCTGGTAAAAAAAGAGCGAGGAAATGTTGTGGAGTGATTCATGTGACTTTTTCATGATTCATTTTTGTTTCTTCATAACAAATCTGTAAATTTTTTTGCTAGTACCAGTTTACCTTCTTATTGAAGATGCACCATTTATGTTATTATGAAACTGTTTCTGTACCTTTTATTGAATTTTTAGATTACCTATCTCTATGCGGATGAAGTGTAAGGGAAGCATATGTTCTTTGGATATTGACAAACAGAAAAAGTTTACCTACATTACGTTGCAAACTGAACGTCCAATATTTAGAAGAAAAGGCTTGTCCGAAGGGACAAATATGCTAGAAGAAAAAGCGAAAGCCAAAGAACTCATAGATGTAGACAGTACAAATTATTTTCCAAAAATATTGGTACTATACTTGGAGTTATTTGATTCTTTGTTCTCCATTTTTCTACTGTTTAATTTTTGTTTGCCACACCTTTTATTTATTAAAATTTTGTTTTGTGCTATATTAGACAAGGAGACCAAAAGGACCCAACAAACTTTGAGTACATGGAAGATGTAAAAGACGAAACCAACCTCAAAGATGCTATGCTCCATCATGTAAAGATTCTTTTAGTTATTTATCTTTAGCTAGCATTTACTTTGTTTTGATTGCTTGACTAGGTATTAGGTTTCAAACAAGGTTGCTTAGACATCATGCAATCAACTAATCATTTAATCATCAGAGAGTCAAGCGTGAAATAATAATTTCAATAAACACTTGGAATAACAAATAACATCCTAGCAATTCAATGCAGAACAAATAAATGTATTGTATTATAGAAAAAGTTTGGCACATGTTTCATATTTTTTTATTTTTATTCAAAAATTGAATTCGTTATGAAAAATTTGAGATTAATTAAAAATTTTAAACTTTAAGAATATACAGATATAGACAAAACATCCTTTGAAACCAGCTAGGAGGTGACTTTTTTTCTGTTTCAATAGTTTAATAGTCCAAAATAATTTTCTGATGTTTAATGTCCAAAATGAAGCTCCAACGATTCTTAGATGGCCAAAAAAATTGATTACATCCTATTAGATATATGGAAAGGACCGATATGATATGAGTTGATTTTGTATAATATAGGATGTCTATTTTCATTGTTTGACATCCATGTTATTATTATATAATACATGAACAACCAATTAGATTCAGCACAACATAGACAATTCGTAGTATATTTATATTCTCATTTCGAAGCACATCAAATTTTATAAAGGTAGACTTAACACTAATGTAAGTTAAAAGCAGTCAATAATATATTTTGTCGAAGGTAAGGTAAGTTAGGTCAGTTCTGATCCCCCCACCTACCCACCCACCCTCAATATTCGTCAAAGGGAAGTAGGCGAATGATTCGAATTAAACATTGTTTAGATGCAATTATTGGAGAGTAAAAAGACAGACATTAGCTATGGGCTATGGCAGATCCTGCTTTGTTTCTGCAGTGGTAAGACTTTTTGGCCTTCAACAATGCTAGTTATTTGTTATGCCTCGTGTTTCCTTTTTTGACAATATAAGTTTTCCTAATTTTTATTGGGGGCGAAAGTTAAAAGTGGGCTTGAGAATAATAGGTGCTCACGGAACGGATGGCACAGGAGCAAGCAGCACAGATAAGAATAGATGCAGTGCATGATTGCTCTATAGACTAACGGACATATGTAGCTAAATATAGGAGAGAATACGAAAGAGATTGGATAGGTGTTGATTTTGTTTTTCATAGTATATTACGTAGTCAGCTCTTTTTCACGAGACGAATAATAGTCTAAGAACCAAGAAAATCGACAAAGTTATCTATATCTATATACCTATATATAATATAAAAGGAGAAAATTTCCATCCCCTCTTGACCTGTCTGCTCCTCTCTCTATTCACCCCACTACCATACCTCTTAGAGCATCTCCACTAGATATCATATCAAATAAATAGCATTTTAGGTGATGGAGATGCTGCAGCAGATATTTTGTCTCGTCTTCTATACCTATAATTTTTAAGAGATTTCCTAAAAGAACCATACTTTCTATTAAATAAATGAAATAACCAAACCCCTCTCCCCTATCCCTAAATAGGAGACATGCTTTATGTAATCTGCTGCAGTAGTACTCGTCTATATCCTAAATTGATTTTAAAGTATTTTTAAAATAACTTATAGGAGATGCAATATAAGAGAGATTTGGTGGAGATGTTCTTATTCCGTTTTTTGGTGTATCGGGCCTGCTGCTTGGTTTGCTAGCAGAATCTACCGTGCCAAAAGTTTGGCAAGAAAAAGTTGTCAAAATGTGGGAAAAAATATCTATCATAGATTTATTGTACTAATTATGAGATGTTGGCAAATTTGGTACCAAACCAAATGGTTGCCAAAATTTTGGCTTGCCTAAGTTTTGCAAAAAAAAAAAAAAAAATTAGCCATCAACCAATTAGGCTCATCATCCCTCACGACCACCCTTCTCACTTGGCGGATAGCAAACAGAGCTTCATGTTAGGAGTCCGAGGTCCAACAAAGATATAATGTATAATGTATCCTACTCTAACACTACATCAACTACTGTACTAATAATGTTGTGACATAGTGAAAGTTCCTAATGGCTAGAGTGGGGGTGAATAGCCTATTAAAAATTTCTACAACAACACTTAACAAACCGGTTAGATAATTATGAGACGAATCAAGTGTTACGCTAGCCTACTAAAAATACAAGCCACCTACCATAATTCTAGTTTATATAGTTTCTATCCACACAATAGCTATGTCACTACACTAAGTTAATGTGCTCTCAAAGGCTAACTAAAGAGTCACACTAGCCAAACTAACAAGTTCTCACAACTAGCTACACTAAAGAGCTTGACAACTAGTTTGCGGTAATGTAAAGAGAGAGAGCAAGATAGTTATACCGTCGTGTCGAGGAATGAACCAATCAATCACAAGAATCAATATCAATGAAGACCAATCACCTCGAAATCAAATGATGACACAATGATTTTTTTACCGAGGTTCACTTGCTTGTTGACAAGTTAGTCCTCGTTGTGCCGATTCACTCACTTGGAGGTTCACACGCTAATTGGCATCACACGCTAAACCCTCAATAGGGTGCCGTACAACCAACATAAGATGCGGATCACACAAGCCACGAGCAATTCACTAGAGTACCTTTTGGCTCTCCGCCTGGGAAAGGTCAAGAACCCCTCACAATCACCATGATCGGAGCCGGAGATAATCACCAACCTCCGCTCGACGATCCTCGCTGCTCCAAGCCATCTAGGTGGCGGCAACCACCAAGACTAACAAAGCGAATCCCACAGCGAAACACGAACACCAAGTGCCTCTAGATGCAAACACTTAAGCAATGCACTTGGATTCACTCCCAATCTCACAAAGATGATGAATCTATGATGGAGATGAGTGGGAGGGCTTTGGCTAAGCTCACAAGGTTGCTATGTCAATGCAAAATGGCCAAGAGAATAAGTTTGAGCTGGTCATGGGGCTTAAATAGAAGTCCCCACGAAATAGAGCCGTTGCACCCCTTCACTGGGCACTGCTCGAGGTGACCGAACGCTCCGGTCAGATCGACCGGATGCACCCTGCCAGCGTCCAGTCAACGGATGGCTGCCATGTCATCCATCTCTTCAAATACTGAGCGCCCGATCCCAACGATCAAGTGATGACCAGACGCGCTGCTTGAAAGTGACCGGACGTAGGATCCCAGCGTCCGGTCGTTTCCAGTAAGGTTCCAATCATGAAAATTCACGACCGGACGCGTCCGGTCATGCCCGACCGGACTCACCCAACGTCCGGTCACTCAACGTCTCCTCTATACGCCGCCACGTTAGCTGGACCGGATGCACCCCTCCAGCGTCCAGTCAAGAAGTGACCCAGCGTCCGGTCGAAGACCGATGCCAGCGTCTTCACTGCTTCTACTGTCCGGACGCGCCGGTCCTACCGAGACCAGCGTCCGGTCACTTTATGAAACTCTGTCTTTTCTCTACAGGGCGCCGGTGGCACCGTCAGACTGTTCCCACTCTACGGACGGATACCCCGCCGGTGAAGTTTTGAACCCTTGCTCAAATGTGCCAACCACCAAGTGTATCACCTTGTGCACATGTGTTAACATATTTTCACAAACATTTTCAAGGGTGTTAGCACTCCACTAGATCCTAAATGTATATGCAATGAGTTAGAGCATCTAGTGGCACTTTGATAACCGCATTTCGATACGAGTTTCACCCCTCTTAATAGTACGGCTATCGAACCTAAATGTGATCATACTCGCTAA